ACAAGACTACAAATGATTTTAGTAGTAATGATAATATGAATTTTATTTTACCAAAGTTATATATTACACATATAAAAAAACCTAAAATATGTGTATGGATTTTATATATGAATTTGTTTTTACCAAAGTTATATATTACACATATAAAAAAATCTAAAATTTGTGTATGGATATTCTAATTAAAAAAATTATTAAAAATCAACTGACGTAATAAAATGTTAAGGAAAAAATTTTTAGTTTATTTTTAAAAGTTATATATTCCATGAAATATGAAAAGTTTTTTCTTACTAAAAAGTTTGTAGTTAAAAAGAAACAAACTCTTACATTTAACCACACATTAGGAAGACAAACGTTTAAGAAATCGTATCTTAAAGTTTCAACTATTTTTCTACAATGAACAAAAACCAAAATATATATAAGCTTACCAGACGAAGATAAATGANAAAAAATACATNAAANNATTTTAAAANGAACTACGNGTCTCTNCAACTCTGACTAGCAAAATCTTAAATCAAAGTTGAAGAAGAAAACCTACACCTTACTGATGAAGAGATAAGTTTTTTCATTCATCGATTGAAAAGAATGTAAACAACAAGCAAACAAGATGTTGTTCAGTATATTCCATATGCCACATTACTAAAGAAATTGTGAAGTGTTAAGTATAAGATAATAACAAAGAGACATTGTGAAAACATATGAAAACCAACTATGATTGATAATTCATACTACTATAAAAATAAATTAGAAAATGACTGATAAATTTTATCTACAAATTCGTTATCGATTATTTAGATAACATGATTTACTAATGGCCTAATATATGTACATAACAAAGTTTTAAACAAATAAATTTTAAATGATAACTTTGATATTTTCATGCATCTTTAAAACTAATTCAAAACATTTATTTATTTGATTTCAAATCAAATATTATTTTCTATATCAAAGATTTAATTGTTTTTATCATAACATAAATACTAAATCCATATATAAATAATTATTAAACTGAATAAAAGTATAACAAAATCTCGCGCGGGTCATATTCT